GAATCATATCATAGGACTGTGAGTCATGGCACCCGTTTCGCCCCTTTGACGCTGGTAGGTTGACCATGTCTGAGCCATATCACATGGTCGGCACGGTCTCGTGTCTGGTCGGTTCTTCCCGTCTGCCAGACATGGCCGCGAGACTCTGCAGGAGCTCATCCGCCAATCTCTGCACTCTTTCCTGGCTCGTTCGAGGCTCATCGAGGTCACCCAACCCTGAAACCGGACTCACCCGACCTGTCTCATCTTCACTACCATCTCCAGTCCGTGCCGGTGAGACCTTAGAACGGTGACGCATGAGGCGAAGCGTTTGTTGGTCAAAAATCACCAGGCTTAGCCGAAGCTACTGCAAGGTCTCCTGGTTCTTTTCGACACACCTGCGTTCTCGACCGAAAAACACATGTCGGTGAAAAACAAGCTTAGCAGAGGCTTAAGTCACTGCTGGATGGACTGCGGTATGTCAAATTAAAGCGGGCCAGCATCACTCTTGCAAATTCCTAAACCGCGCAGTGAGAGAGGACACCGATGAAGGCCTCACCAAAAAAGGAGTCTTCAAGAATGACTCACTATCGAGAAGCCACGCCTGCATTCCTCTTTTCAGAAAAAAAGTCACAAAACAACACACTGGCGCAAAACAAAAAACGGCCACAAGCCGGCGCCTAGAGCTGCGGCCACTGGTTCCTGGAATCAGCGTTTCTTCGATCTGAACCGGTCGCCGAAGGGCGGGACATCGGCCGGGCCTCCTCGGGACATCGCTGACACCGGGCGCCTAAGTAACGGGGTGAACTTACCGGGTGAAGCGACCGGTGTGTCTTGGGCACCAAAAACGCTGCGTTGTTTGTTGGGACCGGTCACTCTTGAACGAGACCAAAAATGAAAAGCAACGCATGAAATCCTGAAAACTCATCTCACAGACATCATGGCAGGTGCACTGGGCAAGAAAAAGAGATCCGCTTTGAAGTAGGCAAAGAAGTTCTAATCGCATGTAACTTGCTCAGTCTCAAATCGAAAAAGCAAAATCAGCTTCCAAGCTTGGCACGATCCAGGCCGAGAAGCCCTGATTCACGCAGCGAATTCAAAAGACCCTGGGTTGGTGTGTATTACGCTCTGACTCACTAACATGGAAGTGGAAAAGCACCGACCTATTTGTAGAGGAAAATGGCCTTCCCAGTGGCCATGCCATCCATTTCCATGTTAGTGAGTCGGAGTGGAATAGGGAGAAGATTCCAACCAGGCAGCTTTAGAGTGGTTTTTTCGTCCAGTGATTGGAGTTCGGATGAGTTCGGGAGGTCTCCCTCTTCAAGATACACACCGGATTGGAGTTCGGGTGAAAACGCAGCTATATAGCTCTCTCCCCCTCCGTTGTGAAACACGGCGGCACCAAAAAGAAGAAGCACTGAGATGCTGGGCCACGTTGTGGAGGCCGCCGAAATGGGCCGTCTCGAAGACCTCGGTGTTGTGGGGATGGGTCGTGACCTAGCCGAGCCCGACCAGTCCACCTAGCGGAGAAAAACAACGGGAAAGACCGGTCAGATCTGAATCTTCCAGAGTCGGGTAGAAGAGACTTGAGCAGTGTATAGAAGATAACTACGCCAGCAGAGACCCCAAATAGCAAAAAGACTTTTGCGGCAGCACCAGCAGCACACTGCAGAGGCACACTGCTGCGGCGGGCACACAGCAGCGGCACGGCACCAGCACCCAAGCTCCCAAGCACGCTCACAGCAGGGGCGCCCTGCAGGGGCACCACCACATACTGGAACAGCACCGGCATCGCACAGCGGCACCAGCACCCAGGCTCCAAAACCCACGCATGCAGCTCTTATACTTGCAGTAAGAACCCCAATAGCTCGCGCTATCTGGGGAAAAACATTGGGCAAAATAGGGAGTCTCAGGCAACGACCACCTGGAAGGTTCGGGAAATAGACCAGCATACCCGTATTTGCCAGGGGATCTCCCTATCAAAATACGCCCGTATTGTGAGTACTGGACCAATTTTTATGGGAAGCTCTTGGGGATGGTCATAGGAACATACATGCAAGTTAGGCCGCCCCCGACTGTTCTCCAGAAAAGGCCGACCCATACCGATTTGGTCCGTTCTTCTGCCCCAACCCCACCAGGTGGGTCACGACCTGAAAGAGGGTAGGGAAATACCGGAAAAAATGATCTCCTGGTTTTGGACCCACAACGACTCAAAAAGAATGTATCAAGCTGTACATGTGATATCATGTGATTGTATCAAAACTCTGATGTATCACCTCTTCAAGTGCGTTGAAGAATCTTTCTTTCAGAACATGTTGCCCAGGTCGCCCTCTTGAGGGGCTCTAAAGTCCTCCCAGACTGCTTCCTAGACTTTCCTCAGTGCTTCCAAGCATCTTCGGTTGCTTCGGATCACTCAAGTGTGAGATGCTTGGCCTCGTCGCACCCACAGAGTGTGGCCTGCGACCGAGATGGCAACGCAACGGCGCCAATGCAGCCAACTACGGCGATGTAGATCCGGCCACCCCAGTCCCCAAAAATGAGTGTGGAACGCAATACAGGCCTCATGTTCTGTGTTTTCCATACCTTTCTGAAAATATGTTTATAAAAGTAGAGAGAGATGGCCCCGTCGACCCTTCCAACGCTCCCGCCAAAAGGCGGAAAAACCTTTCGCCTCAAAGGTGGAATCTCGGTCGCGGTGGTCACGTCTTCTTCCCTGACGAGCTTAGTGGAAGTCTCCAGTCAGTGTGCGAACGGCTACCTTGCTTGAAAACCAAACATTGGATGTCAGTGTTGGTGTCAGCGTTCGTTGACTTGCATGCTAGGAGAATGAGCAACGGCTACCAACTTGAAGTCAGTGCTTCTCAATCAAACCTGCAAAAAAATGAGGAATCCCAAAAGGAACATATACTACTGTATATATAATATATATATATATGTACACAGCGTACCCTCAGCATTCGTTCAGGCCTCTGCTCTGCTTCTTGCCATGCACGTTTCTCCTGGCACATCGAAACAAAACACCATCGTCTCAACGGTCACGATGTTTGGCACGTCACGGTGAACGAAGTCATTAAAAGGCGCCTTGACATCATCCGACCTTGCCTTTGAAACGGCGGCCTTTTGCATGGCCGAACCTCGGACGGTTTGTCCGATGGCGATCTTTTGCTTCTTCGTTTGCGGGTCCCGGCTTTTGCAGTTCACCAGTGCACCAAGTGCCAGTCCCATCCATTTGGAATTCCGTTGAATCTCTCCTGACGACTCCGGTCTGATCAAGACGGCACCCAACACCTTGAAGCTCTTATTCCTGGTAGTTTATTAGTGACTGCCGCCCGAAAACAACACACTCACTCCAGTTCACATTCATTTAGCATGAAGTGATAAGGATAATGCTTCCAACCATGGCTCGACATTTCTGGTTGATGCTCACAGGTTCCGGCTGTGCTTCCTGAAGAGGGCTAGACAAAAGACAACACACGAGATTGAGAGACTAGCATGCTTCCAGTTCTCGTGGATGCTCAATTCTTTGCACTGGCGCCACAAGCCACAAGCCTCATCTGGAACTTGATTTGCCGCAGCGGCAAGAGCCTCACGTCGAAGAGTGAAGACCATCGATCCAGTGACCAACTCGCACTCCGAGACCCAAATGCAGCACTCGGAAGCATACACCCAAGAAGATTAACATGGAACCTGAAAATGGACCTTTGAAAGACGATTTTCCTCTACAACTCGGTAGTTTTCAGGTTCCATTCTAATTTTCCATAGCGTAGATGTTGATTCAATGACTCAATGAATTGTGGATTCTATGATTAGGCTCCATCGCCTGGCTCGGAGAAACCTTGCTTGGGTCCATCGCTCGCTCCGCTGCAGCCTGGGTCGGTTCCGCTCCCCACGACGGCGACGTGGCGACTGTGGCGCGACTCGTTTTCACGTTTCGCAGCTCGCCTGCCGTATTGCCAAGATGCAGTCCAAGACCTTCCGGTGGTCTCCAAGCGCCTGTGGTTGGTAGACTTCGACTTGTGGCTTGTTTGCAAAGGGAGTATTACAACACCTGGGATTAAAAGAAAGAAAGTCTGCTTTTGTACCTGCCCAATTTTGTCCATATCAAGTACAAGGGTACAACATGGTCAAACTTTGCTGACCCATGGGTGGGCTGCAGGGCTGTGGCCTCGTTATTGCTCTCTGCATTCACTTCCATAGCTGATATGCGAACCTGTTCATTCATGAGATGATCTCTTGTGGTAAAAGTACTTTGTTGCCATAATTCTTGTTCATACAGCCCAAGGCCTTCATGCTCTGGTTCTCCTTCGGTCTTGGCTGCAGCTGGCAATAGGAGCAGGGTTCAATTCGGGGACTGAATTCAATGACGGCAATTTGATCAAGACTGAGTCAGAAAGGCCGGATCAAGATGAGGAGCCTCACAAACATGTCTTTGGCACTGCTGATCAAGAATATAAACAAAGAACCCATTTAACAATGGCTTTGGGTTCTACCATAGCCTTCATTTTGGAGCCACCAAATTGCTTTGAAACAATCTGTTTCTCATCGCTAATTCCTAATCATTTCTATACCAGGCTTCCCTACAGGCTTAAGCTCGCTCAGCTTGATGGTATCAGGATTCGGCCTCAAGAAAAACGTGCGCTTCTTCGCATCGGCCGGAATGGGGGTGGAGGAAGGAAAGGAAGGAAAGGAAAGGAAGGGAAACTGAGGAGCTGGCTTGAACTCCTCCATGAACTGCCTTGCTGCCGCTTTTCGCCTCTCGACCACCTGGCTTGAACTGCTCCCTCGAATCTCTGAGCAACATGTGTTTTCTGATAGATCCACAGGTCATGAAACGTTTGGGTTGAGGCAATCATCAAGTTGGGGATGAATAAAGGTCTTCTCACGAACCATGTGATGTGTTTTTTTTCACCTGCCTCATCGATTCCTTGCCTATAGGAGCCTCAGAGAGCAAGTTTCAAGGAAACAGCGCTGAGACAATCAACGAACCTGTGAAGAATACATACATTAACTGGCCAAATGATGCAAACGCAGCTGATGTGACTCTTGGATGATAAAGAACACGTGGAATAGATATATAAAACATGCACACACATATATACATATGCATACATGCACTCGGTGCACATACATACACATACATATAAATGTATACATGCAAACATCTACATACACGCACATATCCACATAGACGCACATACATATACATATATACATATACATACTGTTACGTATACACGCACATACAAGCACATACATACACAAGCTTACACATGTATTGCCATACCATATGCTTACATTGCGTTACATGACCGTACATCACCAACGGTTACATAACATGGCATAGCGTTACACACCATCACAAACCATAACAATCCATTACATACCATGACAGAACATATTTAACATAACCTTACATTGCATTACATTGCATACCGCAAACTCCTCTCCTGATCAAGAAGGGCTTCAGTCGAGTCAACTAGACTGCGTGAAACGCTAATGAGTCTGCACTGACAACGCTACACACTCCTTCTTGGTAGTGTGAGCGATCGAGTTGCTGCTTGGAGCTCAAACTATACCTTCAGCCAAAGCAAAATAAATCTCTTGCAACTAGTCTTGATCTCCTCTTCCACCTCTTGGTTGTTGTTCCATCTTCATGGTGGTAAGGCTTCTTTCTCCAATCGTACACATTGCGTGTTGTCAGGAAACCGATTCCTTCTGCGCTACCTTCTGGTTTCTCTAGCACTTGCATCTTCTGGAGTCTTTTCTCGTCCACTTCATCAGCTACTCCGTCTACCCATTCTTCTGGATCTCCTCCTGGTTCATGTTCTCCATCACGCCATAAACATTCAGGTCCATTCACTTCATCTTCTTCTGGCTCATCGCCTTCTTCTTCCCGCTCCTCTTCGTCAACTTCTTCTGCAACTGGGGATAGCTCTTCATCTACACGATAAAAATCTTCACCTGCAACTTTCACCAAACTGACCTTGGCTTTCTTGCTTGAATCATCTGATGGTCCGATGGTCTGAGTTTCTTGATTGGACTTTCCTCTTCAAGCAATTCAAATGCTTCCCTTGGTCTTGAAGGCGCTGATGGTGATCTTACTGAAGATAGTATAGGAGTAACTGGATTGGGCTGTCCTGCTGGCAATGATGTAGAGGGAAATGCTTTCACCTTCTCAAGGGCTTTCTCATCTGCGAATAGAACTTTCTGTTTCTTACTTGGCGTTTCTTCTCTAGTTGGTTTTCTTGCGTTTCCATTTCTCTTCATTGCTTCCACAGGGATTTCCAGCGGGGCTGGAACCTGCATTGGTCCTGGGAATAGCGCTTCTTCTTTCTCTGAAACACTTCCTCCTTCAAGGGCTTTTGCCATGACTGCTCTTCATCCTTAAGCTTCAACGTCACACGCTCTCGAGGCATGTCTGCCTGCGCTGCTGGTAATGCTTCTGCTCTCCTCTTTGTGGCAACGATTCTGCCACCAAAGTTGGTCTGACGTTCCCATGAACAGCTTTTGTAGGTTGGCAAATTTTTGAGCCAATCCTGATCTGTTCTTCTGGCGCGCTTGCTTAGCGCTGCCTGCGCACAATCTGTAAGCACACAGGTACCTCATCTTTCAACCTTTCCAAGAACAAGCATAAACGCAATCTTGCTTCTCCTTTGCTGAGAGTTTTGATGCAACCATGAACTGGTTCACCATACCCAGCCAAAAGACCTTTGTAGCTCTTGCCATAAACAAGCTCAAAGGGAGTTGCACCCTTGACGGGCTGAAATCTATTCAGCACCCAACCCAAGTCCAAAGTGCATGATCTGATCCTACCCTCATACCAAGCCTTGACTGCACACCCCCAATGAACTTCCTGCCAGCTTTCTCACTCTGTCAACTGTGCCTTCTGGCAGAAATGGATGATCTCCAAGTCCTAGACTGTGGCGAGCGTTGATCAGCATCTTGAGGATTTGTCTTGTTGTGGGTTCATTGTCACCCCTGTAGGCGATTGCCAAATACCCAACAGTTTACTGAAATTTATCATCCTGCGCAATAAGGCGAAATTGGTTCTTGCTTGCTAATGGCACAACATGAATGAACCCAGTCTGGCTGTCAGTTGCAACTAACCAATGTACTGCTCTTGCTGACTTTGTCTCTGAATCTCTTGCTCTTGTGTAGCAAAAGTCAAAGGTTACCTCAGGTATACTTCTTCTCTTTACTCCATCTGTTCTCTCATGGCGATCCGGGCGCGCTTGATGCTCAATGCACCTTACACAATTGGCATATGGCATATGCATCAACCTGTGCCTTGCCTGAGTGGCTTCATCTGGCATCTTTGCCACACTCTGTCCTAACGCCTCTTTTGTTTCCTGAGCTTTGCTTCACTCACCAAGCTGTTGGTGTTCACAAGTTCCAACTTTTTGTTATTGCGATTGAGGATCTTTGCGTAGACCTTCCCCTTAAAGCCACTGCCTGAAACGCCGACAAATTAACACGCTGCCCTTTGAGAGCTGCCTAAGAAGAATCCTCCGTCAACTCTATTCCATTCACCAAGACCTTATCTATATACACCCATTGGGCTCAATTGTAATTCACATTCAAGGTCTTCATCCTTCTTTTCTTCTTCTTTCTGACCTTCTACCTGCTTGCCCAGTGGAGTAGGGGTTCTAGGGCCTGCTCCACTTCTTTCTCAGTTCTCTGTTCTCAAGCTTTGGATCCTGGTGCAAAGAATCGAATATCTTCTGGCGGCGCCCGCTCACAACTGAAGTTTGCGATTGAAGGAATGACTGCATCATCATCAAAGAACTGCTCATCAAGTTCCTCCTTTTTCATCATGCTTTCACAATATTCACGCATTAGCCATCTACCTCCTCTTTTCACCAAAGTGGTTCTCATCAACTCTGGTGATTCTTCCGCTTCTTTCTGGAATGCCTGCGAGGTCCACAATCTTGAAGTCAATAAGCTTTCAACCAGCAGTCCATGCTCATTGAAATCTCCAACCTGATTCCTTTTCCAAAGCTTCAGGCATTTGCGCCTCCAAGTAGCTGTCATCTTCATCTCGAATGACTCTAATGCGGCCTTGAACTGTCAAAGAGCGATTTTGCAAGTTGAGTAGTACCTTCAAGTCACCGTTCTCCAACATTTGCTCTCCGCTGCTCAATCCCCAACCATGCTCCAGCAGTCGTCCATAGCACAGTATGGGCTGGTTCACCTTCGAACTGAAGATCACATTCTTTTTGAGAAGAACTTCACGCCCATCAAGGTCGCGCAAGGACATTTCAACACTTTTCGCACCCCCAGTCAGGATACGGCTCCCTGCGCATCTTTGTACTGCGTTCCAACTCTCCTTCCCCATGATCTGCCATACTCAGAGGGAATAATGCTACATCAGCTCCACTATCAATAGTGATGGCCCAAGTCTCCTCGCTATGAGTTCATCATCTGAAACGTCAATGAGTCAATTTCCTCAAATTTCAGGATCTCTGGTAGGGGCTTTTCTTCCTGGAGCTCAATGGGGGTTACCCTTATCCTTGCTCCGCTACCATGCGAACTTTTCTCCTGATCAAAAAGGGCTTCAGTCGAGTCAACCACACAGAGTGAGATGCTAATGATGTCATGTATATACTCTGTAGTCTGCACTGAACATGCTACACACACTCATGGATATGCGTACTGATGTGAATGCGGTGCCACACGCCGGCCTAGGGTTCCAATTCCTAAGGGTACAGGTAAAGAAACCAAAAGGAAGTGGAGGTCCATCAAGTTCAGCGAGGCCATCAATGCCAAAGGAACCACCGGACGATCGAGCGACAGAATGACGTCGTACGCTCACATCTGCAGTGCAAGAAAACATCAAAGTTTCAACTCTGCGAGGTTCTTGGCTTAGCCTCACGCCATGCAGAAAATAGGAAAATTCGCAGGTACGCAGTTGGACGTCTCCAACTGTATCACAGGTGACTGATGAGTGTCTTTGTTAGCACCGGTCTCATCAGCACCCCCGGTGCCCCCTGCACTAGAAAACCAAAAGCGTAGGAAAAAGGCCACATCAAATCCAAACAGGATCCCTATGACTCCAAGGGTTACACACACACACAGACATAGATTGACTGATTGATTGAGAGAAAGAAAGAGATGCTGATTCGCCCTTGCATCACTACACCTCTCGTTCCAGTTCCAAAACAAGGCACGCATCTCTTGGAGATTCCGCAGCATGTTCTCCTGACAGCTTGATGAGATGCACGTGTAGTGCCCGAAAACGAACTGCGATGGCTCTCCTCTAGTTTTTGGCATCGTTCGACCACCTGAATTGCCGACAGTGAATACTGCAGTTCATCAACCAAGATCTGCAACCAAGGGACTGTACCGCGGGTGGCCCTGCTTGATTGCCATCTGCCCATCACCTTAAATGCTTGTTGTACATGGATCTGGCGGAAAACAACAAGGTCCATAGTCAGGCCTCAGCTACCTGTGTGGGCACAAGGAAGGTTGAGGGGAGGCTTCAAGGTAGCATCTTGGACCAAATGAAGCAAAAAGACATGCATTGAAGACATCTTCAAAGGTGCCTACAGATTAGAGCCGAACCCCTGACACGATTCTGGCACCGCACGCTAAGCAAACACAAAGCTCTGATTAACCACCTGACCACAGCCCTCGGTCTCCTCTCGGCCGACACAGCTCTTCCAGGAAGAGCTGTGTAACTCGCACGCACCTGCGCACAGCGTGGGAAACAGATCGATCTGTTTAACTCGGCTGAAAAATGCAGCCCCACGTCCGATCAGCAGCTGATCTCAAGAAATGTCCGGCCTTCCAGTTCGGATTGCTTGGTGTCGAGCAGCGCTGGCAGATACACAACACCGGAGTTGGACTTTGAAAGAAATATCAAAAAAGCAAGAACACAGAACATGCAAGCACTTTTGCACTTTGCTCAAGCCGGTTGGTTTCCCAGTGGCCCTCTTTGGGTTGCACCGATAATGGGGTGGTATAGAATCCAGAACATGCAAGAACCGAATAAAGGCAGCAGGTGATAAGGCCTTGCTGTTCTTGTGACATTTCCTCACCAACCTCAAAAAGCATCAAACTAATACCTCGGGCCGGCCTGCACCCCTGGATGCAACTGATCATCTTTCAGTCTTCCTGCGACAAATACGCACATGTGTCAGTATATAAAAATAATGCAAAAAAAATACAAAAACAAGGAATAAACGAGTACAGAAACCAAAGTCCACACTGATGTCAGGCCTGCTGATGTCGGCCTGGCTCTTGGAGCTGCCTGGTTCTGCTGCCGTGCTGCTTTTCTCGAAACGAAACGACGATCGGTCCAAGGGAATCGAAACGGAGGACTATAGACGTCAGTGGGCACGACGAAGACGAAAAGCTGCCTGTTCTGTGAACATGTTAGTGCCAAAAACCTGCTTGGGAGGATCGCGGGATTGCGAGCGACCAGAGGAATTGTCACGCCTGACCCTGGGGCTGTTGATGCACCGGTGTCAGAAGAGTGATGCAGGGCACCATCAGAACAGAACACGATGGTGCCCCAAAATTGTCTTCCAATTCAACGGGCACACAGGCCTTGGGCGCTGGCATGGCAAGATTCTATTTGCCAGTAGCAGAATGTAAGAGAAATTGTGAGTGGTGCAATACGTTCTGAGCAGACCATCCCAAGATTCTGTGCTGCACTTGTTGCTCCTTCCTCATGTTGACCCGATCAAACAAGAGGAGTCGGGTGAGTTGAGGATCGGGTGCTGAACTGGCAACCCATACGTTCTGGCCGTTCAGTTCAGCCCAGCTTTCTATTTGATCTCGCTGCTTGCTGTCCGGGTGCTGAACTGGATTCCCGAGCGATGGATTTCTATCAAACAAATCTTCTCCTTTGTTCAATCCTATGTTTTGGCAAATTCAGCTCAATTAAAGAGCTTGAGCTAGTCGGGCAAGCACCAAGTTTGTCAAGTCTCATGCATTCCAGTCCAGTACAGAAAATATATAAGTCTTCAAAGTTCAAGCTTCGAGACACACTGCACCCACAACGTTCTTTGCGCTTGACGGCCGCCCATTCTATCTAGACCTTCGGTCAGTCGCTTGACGTCCGGCATGACGGGATGCCCCTGCTGCCCACAGACGGGCAATACAGTTTGCACGCTGATGATCTCGCAGTCTCACCCGAACGCCGTTTCCCACGAACTCTGCTGATGATCTCGCAGAACTTCGGTCACAACTCTGTGGAAGCGTTGTCCACCTAGGATGAATTCAGCTCCTGATTGTGGATTGGCCGGGTGCTTAGGGTGGGACAGTGATATTTTCCATCAGCCTGCGGAAGTCCTCTTCTTGGTACCATAGACCTTGCCGAGTCCGGAAGTGCCGCCTACAATGCAAGATGCTTGCCCAAAGATGTTCAGCATCTCCTGCCTATTCTCGTCACAAGTACCACCAAGACCTTGCTGACGGGCCGATCTATTCCGGAAAACATGAGGAATGAATGGTTCGATCTCAACAAGTTGAACCAGTGAAAAAAACGTGACTCAATCCGCGATTCGCTCTGGGAGCCGTACAAAAGAAATCAGCTGCCAGAGCATGGTTTTCCTTCCAAGATCGAAAACGAAACCAACGGAATTTAAGCGTCGAGACGAAAACGACTCCAAAGTCAGCCTCCAAAGTCGAGGATCCACTGGTGGAAGATCCGGAAGCTCCTCAAAGGCGAACGAGAGTGGAGAGTGGAGAGTAGAGATGCAGCAACATGGTCACATGGTGTAGTATGGTGTTGTTTCATCAGAGGGAGCCAAACACTGATTTCGGTGTCCTCCTCTTTGCTCGGGGCTTTGGGCGAAAAAGGCCCCAAAGAACTGGCCTTAACCGGACAGAGGACTGGCCGCGGTCCTCCGACGGGTTCTCGTCCACCGCGGTCTCCAATTCACCTCCTCGCAAGCATCGACCTCAAGTGACAGCAAGAAACTGACACGCTGGATTCAACCAGCGGATCTGCGGACCATCAGAAAGAGGAAGCTCGTCTTTGCCCGCTAGCACGGTCTGAAGTGGCACCTGGCTATTGTTCAAAGAAAAACAGCCAGGAGATGGTCCAGAAGAAAAACAAGATGTCTAAGCTTTATGCATGCGGATTTCGTCAGAGTCATATCACTCCTTGCTCAAGTAATGAAAGTCGCTTCATTTTGAAAGCACCGGAACGGGCAGCGTTCAACTGGTCAGCGATGCCAGAGCGATCTAGCTCTTCTGACATGTCGTTTGTGGCTTTGTAATCCACCGCCAGGTCAGATTGATGCGCTGGCCAACAGGTGCATCCTCTTCAGGCACTCGATGCATATAATGCTTCTGGGTCATTCCTTCCATGGTGCAGAGGTCGCCATCTGCAAGCTGTTGAGATGCACCGAGGCACTCATTCTCCTCGGGCCAGTTGAGCTCCAGCTCAAAACGACGTGTGGCCCCCAGAGATAAGGAAATGATCCGACAATCCTGAAACTTTCCTTGAAATAGCTCTTCATCATCAGCATGCCAACCAACCATCTGTGTGTTGTCTTCATACAGGTTCAAGTTGCAACTGTTGGGAAACTCACTCAATTCCTTCAAACCGCAATGAGGCATTACTTCCTGCATCAGCTGAATCATCCAAACTGGATACGGAGTTGGTTGGACTGTCATTCCACCATACTCATAAGTGCAGTTGAAGTTCGCTGCGACCATCCATGCAGTCTTGCGTGGCATAGGCCCCCATCGGGTGGCAGGTTGCATCCATTTTGTTCCAACTCTTACTTTCGCAAACCATGAAGCACAAAGAGCTTTCCCGAATGGATTCGCCAGGTGCCCTGCGAAGCTGCGTCGAGACTCGTCTTTCAAAAAGTAGGTCCATGGATCATCGGTGGTCTCACCAATCAACTTGAGCTCCTTCTGTGTACGACTCTCCTCCCAGTCTTTCCCTGCGAGCTTCGCAGGAGGTGGCTCTTCATGTTTCCAGAGCCTCTCGGTGGGGTCCTTTTTCTCGCTTTTGACACTGGGCCCTCCGTCGGGCCCGGCAACGTCGGGCAACGATCTTTCACTCTCATCGATCTTCAGGCGCTTCGCAAGATTCTCCTCCTGCACTGCTAAGCACCTGGCTCGCGCAGCCTTGAGTTGTGCAATGGCATCAGCCAAGGTACATCGCGGCTGGCCATATGGATGGCGCATTCTTGAGGTGAGTACAAATGTGTTCTAGAGTCTATTACATAGTCTACAAGTGTAAAAGTGGTTGCTGCACTCATGATTCTTCTTGTGGATTGATGGGTATCCACAAAAAGTCCATGTTGCCATGTCACATATTCTTTGAGCAAATACATGAACCATTGGTTCTAGCTCTGTCTCTCTTCCTAAACGTCTCTCTCCCGTTGTCTCACTCGGTGAAAATCATCAAACGGTTTGGCCGCCCAACCTTCATGCCAGCCGCACGGCAGTGGTGTTCCAAGCCTTGGAACAAAGCTAGCACCGAACGGAAAAGGGAGAAAGCAAAACCTGCTGAGAAGACAAGAACACAAGCACTTGGCCGCTGGCGACGCAGCTCACCCTGAGATGAACTGCAAAGTGGCAGAAGTGCTGTGATGAACTCCCGTCACCAGCATTTGACTGTTTTCAGACCAAGTAGCCAGGACAAACATGAGTTGGCCATCTGATTGCCATTCTTCACACTCCTGAAGCTGCTCGTTCACACAGGTTTTATCTGCAAACAACAGCAAGAAGCTACTAGGTGGAGGCCATCGCTATTAGGTTGGAGGCCTTACTAGTAACAAGAAGCTACCAGGTTGGAGGCCATCGCTACTAGTAAGTAACAAGAAGCTACTAGATGGAGGCCATCACTACTAGTAACAAGAAGCCACTATGTGGAGGCCATCGCTACTACTAGTAACAAGAAGCTACAGGTGGAGGCCATCGCTACTAGGTTGGAGGCCATCGCTACTAGTAACGAGAAGCTACTAGGAAAAAAAGAAACAGGTTTAACACCAAGACTCCTCCGGCGGCAAACGCTCAATCCCTGCCCAATGGCGCAGCGCCTGCCATTCGGCAGAACCCGAGAACACGCGAGACGGCGTGTGGTTGTTGTACAGACTTCGGTTTCTCGTAGCGCCTTTGACACCAAAGGCCGTTCTAAAGCCTCACCAAAGACATGTTAAACAGATTCAAAGGGTGAGAGACTCCGCAGATGTCTCATCCGTGTGCTCATCCGTATGCCACATCTCAGTTCTTGACTCCGTGGAATTGCTCGTTCTCTTTGAGCGACTTCAACGCTTTCGCCACCTCGATTGACGAGCTAAGCGACCCCTCGAGTCGAGACCTCGACAGCAAAAACACTATTGTGGCGAGCACCTGCACAAGGGCATCATCAGAAGCCATGATGCAGATTATATGATGCAGACAAACGGAGCTGTTGTGAGGTTCAAAGACTTTCTCAGGTTGGATGGAGTGAAGAAATCATGCAAACCAAGAGTCAACCAAACTTTGCACCAGCCATGGTGGCAATTGTGTTGCACCATGTGGCACCATTCTTGCGCGCCTTTTGCACCACACTAGTGTTTTTGAGTTTACTGTATAAAAGCAGGCTTGACGGCTTGGAGTGGGCGTGCATCTTCTCCGGTGATTCTTCCCTCACCTGGTGCATGCCATGCCGCCCTTCCAACGAATCCGCTCGAAACCGCTCTCCAGTCGGATGATTTTCGCAAATCCAACTGCTTCACAGCCTGCGGAACGGTCGCTCCAGATCGTTTGTGGAGCGACCCATGCAAAGGCTCCAGTGTTGGAGCGTGAAACTGCGGTTTGTGCTGCCGGAATGTTCCGTTTTGCCATGTCTGAAGTGTCAGTGCTTACAAGGCCAAAGCAAAGTATCATTTTCGCACAAACCAGCAAAAAAAGGTGGCAAGTCCCACAATGGGTGAGACACGTTCGCGGTCTTTGCCCAGGCACGCCAACGGAATAGACTCCCTTTCCGGTCAACTACAGCTTTACCACAAACCTGCAACAAAGGATTAGAAGGATGGCAAAAATGGCCTTTGAGGCAGCACACAAGCTGAGCACCAGGCTGGAGTTATACATGATGCCCATAGAACAATTGGCATTCTGCTCTCCTCAAATAGCAAGGCGGGTGCATGCTTACGAGCTCTGTGAAAATGCTCATTTCAAAGCATAAATGTGGCGCTTGTTTGGTGTTGTGGCTGTCAGATCCCATAGCCTGGTTAAAGGTTCATTGTTGTGAATCGACCTAGGAGTGTTCATGACTTTGGATTTCGAGGTCTTTGACTTGAAAACCCATCTTAGTGGCCATGCCAATATACACGCCAACCTGAGGCTGTGACTAGTCACTTCTCTCCAGCATCTTCAATCGGCGCCCACCTGCATTTCAAGAAACAAACAAAACCAAAGTGGGAACAATCTGATGGAATGGTAGCATATGATTGTCCTCCTTTGACATCCTTTGACTGACCCGCCTGCTCTTCAATCTCCTGCACGCGCCTCTGCAGCCCCAGAATCTGTTGCTGCAATGACCTGGAGATCCAGTGCTGCTCCATGGCAAGTGTTTGAAAGGAAACAACTGTTAGGAGCAACCGATTGGAAGCTCCAGCACCCATTTACGACGTTGAGGTTCAAACGTCTTCTCTCCCTTCAGAGTGGTGATTTGCTGCTGCAAGCCTGCTTTATGGCAAGTGAAAAAGTCATACGGTGAAGAAAACTCTTCTGCAGCTAGATAATTTCGCCAGGAGCACGTGAGTTCTCCGCCTTTTGCTGAGCAAAGTGCCGCTTGACTTCATCCTACAAGTGTTGAAATGCGTGGTGATCCAGTGTCCTTTTGCTCTTTCTGTCTTCCTCAACTGACAAGCACTGCTGGACTTCATTTTCTGGACTCAAAGTCCTGCAAACGTTGAACGTCTCCGACCATGGTCTTCTTGAGCTCTTGCAACTGCCCCTGGTAGTGCTCCTGGCAAAATGGTACACAATGACTGGGAAGAACCGCAAGCTGTGAAATGTATGAAATTCAGTCCACGCAATTGCACCCCCAGCCTCAATGCCAGCCTTGTCTCCGCGAAGACTTTCAATCTCCTGCCAACTGTGGCGCCAAGTGGTCTGCTTGCAGGTAACACTCCGCTTGGTCATACAAACAGAAGCAAGACCAGGACACGGAAGCTCATGTAAGTAGTATTGGTCCTGACGCTGTGCCGCCAGCTCTTCATTTTGCATGGAGATGAAGTCCTGAAAGGAAAATCATGCGACAGCTACTTCAGGCTCGCAAAAGGAATCCATTTGCATCGACGGCAGATCACGCTTCTCGATGCCCTATGCTCCCACTGCACTGAAATGACTGTATCTTGCCTCCAGAGCAGCCAGCTTTCCCTTGAGCCCTGTAGGGGCAATGCTCCCCATGGTGGCGTCCATGGCCTGAGAGGAGTGTCACCAATCAATTTTTGCCAGGGGGGTAGGCCGCGAGTAGAGGTGAGGTAGCTAGTAGCTAGAGGTAGGTAGCTAGTAGGAACTGAGGTAGCTACTACCTGCAAGTAGCTACTACCTTGGACGCAGGATAGCTCGCGCAATGATGCTTTGGTTCCTTGATTTTTAGGGAAACTTAACTTGTCACTTCTGTTGACCCAGCGACAGCAACACTGTTCTTGCAGGCTGTGCAGCAGGCGTTCTTGTTGGGGAGGCGCAGAAAATCCAACTCTTTGAGCCCGTACCTGGTTCCCCTCAGAAGTCCGGGCCCATGTGTTTAAGCTGTTTTCCTGTTTTCCATGCGAACAATGCTAACCGCACGACAAACCGCTGTCCAACTCGCTGATGCATCACTCTCGACTCTCCTTGCTCCTGATGCACGAGCCAACAGGCAGATCTTGCGCCATTTCTTCTCTTTGCACTTCCGATCGTGAGCACTGCTGTGAAACAGGGAGTCTCGATCCCAGGGAGTCTCGAGTGATTCTCAAGCTCGCTCTGGTTTTTTTGGGGGCCTGGGAACTGCCTTCAGATTTGTTCATCAAAGCTGTCCCAAAAGGACTCTGGCGAGTCTGCAGATTTATAAGGAATTCATGAAATCTCACGGACTGGAATAAGTTCGATCTGCTGAAAACTGGACGACTTCGAAGGGTTTCAGGGCCTCACTGAAGAGAAGGCCGTTCGAAGGCATGACTTCTGAGTGGCTGTTTAGCAATGAAGCAGTGAACTGGTGGAAGGAATAGACCCATGGAACCATGATGGACACGTGAGGGAGCATTGATAGATCAATATCATAACCGGCACATAAGTGCACATCAATTCAATCAGCCACAAACGAGCATCTACGAGCGGTTCAAAGGCAAAAGTTGAACATGAACAGAACATAAAATAAGAGTTGAGTTATAAAACAAATATTTGTCTTAAGTCAACCACACAAGCCGATGATTGGCCTGCATTTCATTGGCGAAAACCTTTGAATCATTTGCGAACGCAATGGGCAAAGGCCAGGAAACGTCCTGCCATACCTGCCAGAAGCAAAGCCCTTCTGAAATATGAGGATCAGCAGAGCACTGGACTCCAGTTCCATGGCTTGCTTTCGTGTAGTATAAGGCTTTAAACAAAAGTCTTCGGTGTTAAGCGCTGTGAGATCGACTGAATCCACCTCAATTGTCGCATCCTGAGTCCGATTATGACCTAAGCGAAGCAAATATGCAGACGAACGACAGAGACTGTGCTGAGGAAGCCACCAGTGAACATTGCTCTTACCTCAACTCAAACAAAAGACAGGGAACAAAGAGATATATAAACCAAATATCATCCGCATGGCAATAGGTGGTAACGTTGATGATTGTCAGCCAGTGTATTGTCTTTGCTGCTTTTACACCAGGTGAAAAGCACAAGACATTCGTTCTGGGTTTCAAATACGCCAGTGCTTGCGCCAACGCGCATTCAGAAAGCCAGCTTTAAGCTGTCATCTCAAAAAAGCGCTTTTGGAATGGAATACAGCCCGGCAGTCACAACAAGCCGACAGTCTAAGGGAGAAAGCAATGGAAAACCAAAGCTTTACTCAAATATCAAATCAATGTAGATCATCGGTCACACAGCAGGAGAGACATCTGTCATGCCATGATTCTGCCAAAAATGTCTCCACCTTCTTCGTCATAGAGGTCCTGAGTGCACCACTTGATTGAATCCAGCATCGAAAAAATATTGGCACCCAACCACACCTGATACTCACGTTCTGCTGCCGCCTTGACCTTCACGCTGGAGACTATTGAATGGCGTTCATTCAGCTCCTTGTTCACTTCCAGATTTAAGCGAGCACCATAATTGTGGAACTTGGAGTTGCCACCCACAAGAACCACATTGGCCGCCAGGCTCTTCTGAGACTCAGGCGCGGCTTTCAAGAGCGTGTCTGCAACCATTGATTGGATTGATTCGTACTCGCATTTCTCCATCAAGCAAACAATGTTTTCACAAGCTTTGGGGTCGAAGAGGATGTTGGGCGCTTCAATTCGACATTCGAGGGGCACATGTACCTCTCCACGTTGCAGTTCCATTGTAACGCCCTTTCCGTCCTTCCTCTCCTGTTCCATATCTTCTGGTATGTAGCATGCAGTGCGTTTGACCAAGTCTACTTCGTCGTCAACCTCTGGCAATCGCTCGTGGATCCAAGCTGATACATCCTGACCTCCCAACTCCACAAACTTGTAGGTGTGGCTGAGCAGAGCTCCTTCAACCACTGCAACTGATCTCGTTACTGAATAGCCAGAGTCCACAACAATGCCTGTGGTCATCCCTGTGCTGAAAAGAGCTGCCGTTTCTTGGTGGATAAAATTCACTGCAGCGACCTGAAAGGATCGAAGAATGTGGAGGCCATCGCTAATAGGTTGGAGGCCATCGCTATTAGGTTGGGGGCCATCGCTAGTAGGTTGGAGGCCATCGCTAGTAGGTTGGAGGCCATCGCTAGTAGGTTGG